AAAAAAAAAAAAAAAAAAATTTCATATCCATAGAAAGGCAAATTTATTGATATTTATTGATATGGCTCCTTATTGGAATAGAGCAATAATGGAACAAAAACAGAATATTTATCAATATAAAATTTAAAAAATTTGTAATAATTTACTTAGAAAATCAACTAAATATTACTCTGGCCTGCTTACAAACAACTGGGAAGTTACTATGATTGGACAGAGTTGGGTGGCTTGATATAAAATAATAATATACCATCGTCAACCAATTGAAAGTAAAATGGGAATATAAATCTCTTTCCCAAATGCAAGAAAATGAAGATAGGAATTAGCCACAATGAATGTGCACAACCCATATATCTTTCCCGTTTCATGTTTTTCTCCCTATCAGGTTTGTACTTTAACTAGAGAAGATAACCGGTCTTTGGGTGTTATTCCTCAAGATGAGCAGCTCCATGTCCTACCTCTTTATAAACTTTCAGACACAGATGAGTTTGGCTCCAAGGAAGGAATGGAAGCCAAGATCAAATCTGGGGCCATTGAGGTCCTGGCACCCCGCCGCAAAAAAAGAACTTGTTTCACTCAGCCTGTTCCCCGTTCTGGGAAGAAGAGGGCTGCGATGATGACCGAGGTTCTTGCACATAAGATAAGGGCAGTGGAGAAGAAACCTATTCCCCGAATCAAGCGGAAGAATAACTCAACAATAACAAACAACAGTAAGGCTTCATCACTGCCAACCTTAGGTGAGCCCTGTGGAACTTGCTAGTCTCCGCACAACTGTGATTGATACGGTGTTTGGACTTTCTTTCCCTTGCACATTATTTATCTTTGTAGGCGTCTTAGGCACGAGGCATTATGAAAAGAAAATATTTAAAGCAGATGTATTATTACAGTTTGTTTAGAGTTAAAACTAAGGCACTGAATATATTTTTACATATGCCAGAACCAAAAGTCAACAAAAAAGTGCCCCATCAGTGTTTCTTTGTAATTTTTTTTTTCTTTTTTTTTTTTTTT